GGGCAAGGGACGCCCGGCCCATTACCTTCACTGGTGACGCCCTTGGGCTCTTCCGCATCATTTCCCTGGGAAGGCAGAAGGAGGGGGCGTTAGCTGGGCCCAGTGGGCGGGGCGGGGTGGGGCCCAGTGGGCGGGGCGTTAGCTGGGCCCAGTGGGCGGGGCCCAGGCGGCTGAGCCAGAGGGACCCAGACTCAGGCTCTGTGGGCGAGGACTGAGCCCTGGCTCCACGCCCTCCTGGGCCAAAGGGCCTTGGGTGTCATCTGACTTCTCTGCGCCTCGGTTTTCTGCTTTTTAATACAGCGTTGTCGGGAAGATAAGATGGAGTAGCGCAGGCAGAGTGCCAAGAACGCGGTGCGGTGCCAGTGGGGCTCACTGAGCGCTGCTGCTTTTCCTTCCAGTGTCTAGAGGGGTGGACGGATTCCCCTCTGTGGTGGAAAGGCTGACACCCCCAGACTGGGGCCAGGCACGCTTAAGTTGGGGGCTTGAGGGTGGGGTAAGCCTCTGCCACCGGACAGAAACACATGGGCCCTTGTGGGACCTTGGGCAGAAACACGGTCTCAACAGTGGCCTGCAAGCGCCGGGGGGCAGGGTGGAGGGTGGGGGGAGCTCAGCGGGGTGCAGCAGGGCTCTGCAGAGCCCGACGCCCTGGGGGACCTCACACTGGCCCTTCTCTAAAGGGAAGTGCCCAGGAGGAGGCGGGTGGCTGGCAGATGGGGGACACTTCCAGCTACTGAGGTGTCCCACAGTAATGCTCCCCTTGTCACCCACTAGCTTGTCACCCTGCCCCATGACCAGCCACCTCCTCATGAGAGATGGGAGCCCCCGTCAGGTGGGCGCAGAGTGGGCCCGACTCACCACGTCAGTGGACAGCCACTGCTCGATGTCCTCCATGAGGCAGGCCTGAGTGACGGGAATCTGGAAGGAAGGGAGGGGCAGCACACTGGGCAACAAGGCCAAGGCCCCACCAGCTAGGGGTCTACCGGCCAGGTGGCCTGGGGCAGTCACCCACCCCTGAGCCTCCTCGCTTATGAGATGGGGTCAGTTGGACCTGCCTCTCACCCTCTTCTGGGGGTGAAGATCCTGGCATCCCCTCCGAGATGGGGCCCGTAATCCCGCCCACAGTGCCAGGCTGTAGGCAAGGGGGATGCAGGGCCAGTGGGCCAAGCAGGGCACGAGGAGGGGCCTCCTAACAGCTGGAGCAGGGCCACGAGGAAAGAATGGACGTCCGGATCCTGCACACTGAGGGTGCGGGTGGGGCTCCAGACCTAGGCAGGGGCTGAGCACAGGTGCTCAGGGGCATCTGATGGAAGAATGCACGCAGCCCAGACAGGGCCAGCCGCCAGGGGGTGGGGTGGGGCTATGACTGTGGCCAGGGGCCGCCATGCTCTGTCTCCCTGCATGTATGCAGACTCAGAGTTCATGACAGGAGGGCTGAGTGGAGGGAGGTGCCGAGCTGACCTGAAAAGGCCAGGCTGCTGACTCAGAGGGGCTGCGCCTGTGCACGGGGACATGTCACTCTGGGCCACAAAGCCGTGGGTTCTGCCACAAAGGCACCTGCACAGGGGTGGGGACTTCCTTCTCTAAACGCTTCTTCAGGGGAGAATGCGATTAGAGGTTCTGGGCACAGACTGGAAGCTGCACAGCCCCTACCTCAGTGCAGTGACTTTGGGCAGGGCACTTAACTTCTTTGAATCTCACTTTGCTCATCTTTAGAGAGGATAACGACAGTACCTACCATCCAGGTTGCTGTGAGGATTAAACGAGATGATGAATAGAGAGCTTAGCACAGTGCCTGGCACAGAGGAGATGCTCAAGAAATGCTCCTGCGTTTCCCCAAAAATAAGGCCTAGCCGGAGAAGCCCTAGCGTGATTCCTCCAGGATATGGAGGGCACGCGCCCCTCACATGAGGGTTTTATGACCTGTTTATGGAGAAGGGTGTCTTTTCCACAAACTCCTTCAGTTAAAATATTCAGTATGCCAAGGTGCCATATTTTGGCACCTAAAATCATGCGAGGTCTTATTTTCAGGGAAACAGGGTAGTTACCAGCTAACTAAAGACCAGGAGAATGGGTTTTTCTCCAGCCAAGCCAGGTCAGTCCCCAAGCTCTGTCCCCAGCTCCCGAGGCCCCCAGTGGGCAGCAGGAAGCCCAGAGAAGAGGCAGGAGCCGACTTCCCAGCAGCACCAGCGGCACCAGCGGCAGCGGCAGCCCGTGCTCCAGGCTGCCCACACCAGCTCCCTCTCGCACTCAGCTCTTTGCCGGCACTCGGCCCAGAACCAGGTGAGCCCCTGTCACCTCTCAGCTGCCAGAGGGGCTGCCTGGACCTTGCTTCCGAGTCAGGAGCCGGAAGTGGGCACCAAGGGGCCCTGGAAGCAGAGGTGGAGGGAGCAGGACCACGCTGAGCGCCGGGTTGGGCCGCGCGGGCCCTCGGCTGCCCAGGCACAGCGGCCCTCGCGCTCCTCTGGGTCTATCGGCCCCACTGCCTCTGACAGCACCACTGGGCTGGGACCCCTGCAAGTGGCAGCCCCAGCTCTCCGGGTAGCCCCTCCTCACCACGCCTTGTCTCACCATCCAGTCACTGAGGCGCTTCTCACTGCCACCTTCCATCTGGGTGAGAAAGGGTCACGCTGAGGGAGGCGGGAAGGGCAGGGCCACTGGTGCGCTGGCAGCCTTCTCCAACAGGGACACTCCTTTGGGGTCTGCCAGCCTGCTACTACCTTGGGTGTGTGTGTGTGTGTGTGTGTGTGTGTGTGTGTGTGTGTGTGTGCACGCGCGTGTGTGTGCGCACACGGGTGAAAAGGGACAAAAAGCAGAGGGTGTCACACTATGGGGTGGACAACAGCCCTGGGTCCCCAGAGCCCTGAGTGGCCTGGGCGAAGCTTCTCCCTTTCCAAAAAGACCCCGGAGGGTGGGCCTGAGCGACCCCAGGGCAGGTGCACTGAGCCAGCCCCAGTGGCTCTCGGGGTTTTCATGGGCATCTCAGCCTAGAAACACTGGTTTACCCAGTCCCCTCGAGTTTTACTGAGGGGCAAACTGGAGGCTCTCTAGGACCCCAGAGCAGATTGGTGGGGGGAGACAGTCCTGCCTCCTCGCCTGCGACAGACCCCGCAAGGGGCCTGGCACACATATCCATCTGCACGCCACAGGACTTGTGAACCGGGGGCAGACGCTGACTGCCACTTGATTCCCTTCTTACTTGGCTGGTGGAATCATGCTCTGACAGTTCAGTGAGAGTCTGACCACCAGACAAACGTCCGCACCTTGGGAGCAGGGGCTTCCTGACAGATTTAGGAAAGTCAAGCCCTGATCTGCTGGCAGTCACCGAAATCTCTCAAGTTATCAGACAGGAATGAGCCATAATGGATCAGTTTCTGCTTTCCTGCAAGTAGAGTGTGTGTCCTCCCTGTCCTAGCTGCACGGTGGTGTGGGAGAAGACGGGGGAATCTAGTTCTCGTCATGATCCCGAGTTGATGTTCCCATGGGCAAGGGACGCCCGTCTCTGGGCCGCAGCGCACTCATCTGCAACAGGAAGGGGTTGGCTGGGATGGCTGCCTGCTGGGCTGTGGACTCAGCTGCTGCCCACGAGAGGCCAGGTGGCCCGAGAGGGAAGTGCTTTCCGCAGGCTTCCAGAGTGTCAGGGGCCAGGATGAGGGCCCTTGGAAAAGGGAAGGCTGAGGAAGGGAGCATTCAGTTCTGCTCCTTCAAGCTTTGCAGGCCACCTGGGGACCTTGTTACCAGCACTGGCTTCAGAGTTGGACAGACCCGGGCAGATGACCTCACGGTTCTAAGCCTGGTGTCCTCCTCTGTACGTGGGATGACCGCACAGCAGTGCTGTGATCGTTAAATACTTCACTATGTGCCAGGCGCCATGCTAAGGGGGTTACATCTGTTGTCTCACTTAACCTCTCCCTGGGACCCAGTTTTCTCCTCTGTGAAGGCAGGTAATAACACACCTTAAGGGTCTGTGTGATGACTCAGTAAGAGGGACTGCAGAGCACAGGCTTGACAAACACCGCTTATGAAGAAAAATGATGGGACGCTCTGAGACACGGTGAGTAAGTGTGCTCTGGGGGGTGGCAGGTCACACAACACACACAGGGGACACCTGATTCCCTCGCTGCTGCTGCTCCCAGTGTTCCAGGTCTTGCCCTGTTCTGACTTGGGAATGACTCCTGAGATGCTGGGGACGTCCCTGGTGATTAGCTGGGACACCCCCTGCCTCCCCCCAACCCCAGTAGACTGGGTGGCTTCCACAGCCTCCTAACTGCTCTCCCAGCTTCCATGCTGGAGCCTTCTAAAATGAAAAGTCAGATAAATGTCCCCCTCTGCTCAAAATTGTCCACTGCTTCTACCTCATGCAAAATAAAACCCATGGCCCTCCCAGCTGCCCTCAGGCCCTTTGGTCCCTGCTGCCACTCAGGCTTCGTCTCCCACCAGCCAGTCACACCCTGGCCTTGGAAGCTCTGTACTGTCACCAGCCCTCTCCTCCGTCAGCCACTTCGTTGCCCCTGCCTCTCCAACTCCTGGTCCTGCTGTTTTCACCACCTCCCAAGGAGCGGCTCTGGGCACTGCCTGAAAGGCATCCAGAAACACATTCAAAGGTATGAGAATTGTGGGTGGAGTTCTTGCCAAGGGGGAGGGGCCACCCAGAGCGTGCTCAGTGCTGGCACGTGACTGTCACTCAATACACGTCAGCAATGAAATGGCACTAAAATGATGCCCAGCGTGCCACCTCCCTGTGGTTGTAGGGCTGGAAGGCAGGCCAGGAGCTGGGAGGAAATGCAAGGCTGATGGGCTGGGAGGGGCAGGGGCTGACGCTGCAGCTCTTGTTCTCTGTTCCCTTGTCCCCCTCTGTCCATACCCCTGCAAGTAACAAGTCTCTAAAGGAGGCCACGAGGGAGATTATTGCCTGAGCTCTCACTATGTGCCAAGCACCTTACATAAACCCTCTCACACATACTGTTATAAACATGTAGGTACTACTATCAGCCGCAGTATACAGATGAAGAAACTGAGGGTCAGGAAGGCTGGCCATCTACTCAAGGACACACAGCTGGTAAGTGGAGCTGGCTGGGACACGGGCTGCCAGACTCCGTTCCGTCTCACACTCAGGGCTGAGTCCTTGCTCTAACCCTCTCGCTGTGTGAACTTAACCTCTCTAAGTTTCCTCAGCTGTGAAATAGGAATAATCAAATGAGCTACAAAGGGGGAATTGAGAACCAAATGAGGCAAGGGCAGTGGATGTGCCAAGCCAGTGCCTGGCGCACGGGGGCGCCGGGGAGCACGCATTCCTGGCCTTCTTTCTGGACAGGTCCCCGGGTGGCAGCAGGGCCATCTGCTTACCGCTCCAGTGCTCTGCTGTCGGGCGTCCAGGGCTCCAGCCAGACCGTCTGTAGCTTGGGGGGCTTCATATTTTACCCTGAAATGCAGAGGCCACCATAGCTGTTAGATGCTGCCCTTGTTGCGCCAGGCATGCCAGCTGATGTGAGGATGGAGGGTGCGGTTGGGGACGAGCTGCACTCACATCCCCTGTGGGCTTGGGTTGTGCCTGGGCCGGGCCAGCTCAGGCCCCGGGAAGGGCTCCAACTCTGAGCCCTCTGGTTGAGGTCTCCGGGGTGCCTCTGGGAATTGCAATCAGGGGTGTGACTGCACGACACGCAGCAGCAAGGCTGGAGGAGTGAGGGAGGGTGCTGCTGGCCAAAGAACAAGGTTACCGGGGGCTATCACCAGTCACCAGATTTGGCCAAACTCCTGGGATGAGAAATAGCACCAATGGCCCCGTGCTCATGGAGTATTCCTATCTACGGACCCTTTTTTGAGCAGCTCGCATTGATAATTTTATAAATCGCGGTTCTGTGTAAGCTTGCGCTTGAATGGGGAACTCCCTCCCACTGCTGAAAACGGGCAGACGGCCGGGCCAGGTGCCAGTCAGCGCAGGCTCACTGCATGAAGACCTCCCCCAGCCCTCCCCTTCTCAGCAGCACGAAGGGAGGATTCACGAGTCCTAGGACACAGGGAAAGGTGAGGTGTCAGGTGGCCAGGGCTAGACAATCCAGCTGGAGCATAAGGGAGAGGCAGCCAGGCAGGAGAACAAAGGAAAGAGGAACTTCAAGCTGGGGAGCATTCCTGGCAGTGCAGGGCGTTTTCTCCTGCGGCGGAAACCAACCCCAGGGGGGCGGTGCGTGTGGGGTGGGGTGTGCCTGCAGGAGAAGCCACGACGGAGAAGGTACGTGGTCTGTCTCAGCACATCTGCTTTACCTCTGGGGTCTCATGCTCTCCCCTGCCTGAGCCTGTGTAAATGCTGTTCCCACGGCCTGAAATGGCCATCTTGACCACCCCCCACACACTGGCCAGGCCAGAGCCTAGTAAGCGCCTCGAGGACAGCACTTAGCACCGCATGGCAGTGGTCCATGTGCACATCACTCTCCCCCAAATTGCAGGCCCTGAAGAGCATGCTCTGAGTGTGCTTTTCTCTGTCCTTCAGGGCCTTGCTCTCCACAAGAGTGACAGTGCAAAAGCGAACCTCTGCTAGGCTGGCGAGCTGAGCCAGGTGCCAGGGGCTCTCGGGCATGGCTGGTGTGCTGCCTGCTAGGGCCTACACATGCGGGCGGGCCACCCTCCTGGCTGCAGGTCCCACCGGACTCATTAGCTTCCGCCTGCACAGCAGCCTCACAGTGCCCCTAACTCCATGGCAACGGTGAGCTGCTGGTCCCAGAGCACCTGGGCCTGGGAGTACACACTCTGCCCCAGACTACTCTGCTCACAGCTCAGGCCTGGCGATGGCCAGTGGGCAGGGCTGTGGGCAACCCATAGACCTGGGTGGGCTACACCTAGATTTGCTGATGTGTAGAGGGTATCTCCGGCCCTCTGGAAGTCCACCGACAGTTCCCAAAGACACCAGAATGACCACTAGGGAGCCGGGGGGTCTGCTGGGAAGGTTCCTTAATCCAGAGCTTCCTTGGCTGTCCATCCTGGCTGCCCCCCGCTCAACCTTGGGGCCACATGCAAGGGGCTGCTTCTCTGACAGGCCTGTAGGGAGCCTGTCATGGGAGTTGAGGCAAGGGGCTGGCCCTGGTGGACACTTGGCTGTGTACCTAGACTGCTGAAAGCATCCCCCTGAAGATGGACAGTCCCTATGGAAGGACAGAACCCTAGCTCTGGGACACAGTGGGCAGACCCAAGTGGGGCAACAGGGACTTCTCTGGAGATTAAGGATGGCTATGCAACAAGAGAAATGACTGGACAAGCCCATGAGGACTCACCAGGGACCTCCCTACCTGCCCCAGAGGGCTTGGTGCACACTGTACAGTGCAGTGGGGACCTGGGTTGGGCTGGAACCAGACAGCCCTGGGCTCCCAACCTAGCGAGTCAATCAGCTGCCTGTCTGGGGCAAATGACGCAGCCTCTCCGTGCCTCGGTTTCCTCATCTGATCAGATTATGGAAGATTCTGGCACACAGCAGGTCATCATCCTACAGGCGATCCTTCTGCCCATCAGCCCTGCCTGTGTGGCATGCAGCCCGCCACCTGGCCACATGGCTCTCCAGGCCACGCGGGGCTGACTCGGGGAAGGAACCCTGCCATCCTGAGGGGGTGTGGGCAGGGGGCCGTGTGCTTTTCCACATGGTGTGCCCAACCAGCACCAGGTTCAGGGACCTGAAGAGAGGCCCTCCTGATAGGGGGCGACCCAGACTGCAGGGGCCAGGGCGGGGCCGGGCCACTCACCCTTTCCGTTGGTCAGCCAGCGAGCTGCCCCGCGTCAGCGCGAACATGTCAAATTCGTCTTCCGGCCCGCCAGAGGTCTCCAGAGACTGCAGGCCAGCCCTCACGCTGCTGGAGCCCAGGTCTGCGGGGCAGAAAGGCCACATGAGTCTGCCTGGCAGTGCCTGTACACACCCTGGCCGGGCTGCTCCCTGCCAGGCCCATGGCTGCTTCTGGATGAGCGGCATGGGTGGGGGTGGAGACAGGATGGGACGGACGGCTGGGGCAGGTCACTTGCTGGCAGCGGGACTGAGGGCACGGTCACTTCCTCTCGTAATTATTTCCGAGGGCTTCGCATGAAGCAGGGCGTGAATAACATTGAAACTCATGACAGTGATGTGCCTATGTTTGCTAACATGTATCAGGAGCGACTCTGGGCCTGGCACTGGTCTAAGCCAGGTTCACACGAGCTCATTCAGTCCTCACGACGGCCTGTGAAAAAAGGCCCATTCTTGCCCGGGACAGAGGAGGAAACAGGGACACAGGATGTCTGAGTGACTGCCCAGGCTCACTCCGATGAGCCAGGCCATGGAGGATTCAGCGTCGAGGGGCCATCTCAGAACAGCGGCGTTTCTGAGGTCGGGGAGGCCCAGCAGTTGTGGGGCATGTGTACTGTCCTGGGCGCTCAATCTTGTAGCGAGATTCAGCTTGGGACACTGCTGAGGTGGGGTCTGGGCTGAGGTTCTGCTGTTGGTGCTGCAGCCCCAACTGTGTTAACAGGAGGGCACCCCCAGAGCTGCAGGGGTGCCCCACACTTACTCATTCCTGCCAGCTGGGACGAGAGGTTGCCAGTGGCGGCCGGGTCAGGGCCCATGTCGATCAGGTCCGTGGCCGCCTCCGCCTCCGCCTCACTTGGGGCCTGAGGGGGAGAGGGGGATGCAACCATCATCCTTCTTGCCTGCAGCCTCGTTCCCTTCTGCTCGAAGCTCTGGCACCTGCAGCCTCTGCCCAAGAAGCTGTCACCAGGGCCCTGGCGGCTATAATTTAGGAGTTTTTCTTCCTCCCCTTGGCCTCTAGCTCTGCTCCCTCTGGGGAGGTGCGAAGACCCTTGGGCATCAGCTGGTAGCAGAGCCTTAAAGGGACAGTGACAAAAACATAAGAAGGGGGCTTCCCTAGGAGCCTAGATAGGAAGGCACATCCTGTTCAGAATATCCGGGGGTGAGGGTGGGTGGGGAGGTGAGCACAGCTCTCCTTCTCCGTTAGCATGAGCATGATTTAGTCACAGGATAGAAGTCATTTACCTTGGCAGTCTGGCCTGTGCGGAACCGCTCAAACCTATGGGACAAAAAAGAATGGAGTCAGGAAGACAGAGCGAGGCCCCTCCAGGCAGAGCTTTTCACACCGCAGGGCTCCAATTCAATGCAGTGGGTCACTTAGGGTGACAACACATCTTGTGTGTTCTGGACAGACCCAGTTGGTGCCTGCTGTCCCCGGGGGATCATTAACAGTACCTTTCTTTCACTTGCAGAAGTGTCCCAATTTGCATTATCAATTACCTGGCCACTCTAGTCAGGACTAGCAGAAGGCAAATGAATCAGAATAGGCTAGAAGAGAAAATGGGATGCGCAGCATACGGTACAGGTAAGTACTGTTTTGTGAAACTCATTCATTATATGCTTGTGTGTGTGTGTGTATATGCACGCGCGCCTGCGCCGGTGGTTCTCTGAAGTGGTGTACAAAAGACACACACCTTATACTGCACGGAGCCACGTAGACCTCACTCAGGCAGGCCAGGTGGCGGGCGAGGCGATGGAGACCTTGGTCTGGGGTCTGTTCGAGGCGTGGCCCTGTCACTTGTTAACTGTGGCTGTGGGTAAATTATGTGACTTCTGAACTTCAGTCTCCTATTAAAAAGAGGGTGACAGTGGGACCTGCCTCCCAGATGTGAAGATCAGGTAAGTACACTGAGTGACTGGGCACAGAAAAGCACCAGGCAAAAAGCCAGGCCTGATGACAGTGGGTGTCAGAGGGGTTCCAGTCACCTCACAGCCCATACCCTGCAATGGCAGGGAGGGGACGCTCTTATTTCACGGGCCACCGAGCAGCAGAGGCGGGCAGATGTGGCCTGCAGCAGCCCCACCCTACTCTCAGCTGATTTAGTCACGCACGGAGTGTCTGCTGATGGATATGAAATGAACAAGGGGCAGAGGAGGCTAGAACCACCGGTGTCCTGGACACTGACTGCTCAGCGCTTTCCAGGCATCACTGCATGGACTCCCAGTTACCCTACAGAGCGGGTGCCACCATGAGCCCCGGTTTACAGATATGGAGAAAGTGTGGGGGACGTGTCATTCCTGCAGGTCCAGCACCCCTTTCTCTCTTTTTTTGTAACAGCACCTAAGTGCTCCTCTGGGAAGCTGCTCTTCTATTTCCCGTCATCTCCCTGGTGGGGCTGCCACCAAGGCCCCCTCCCTCCTGCAACTGGCAGGCACAACAAAGCTGAGCCAATCAGAGTTTCTCTTGGGGAGCTGACTCCTGAACAGAATGATACAAGGTGAGCAAGCGTTATTGATGGCAACACCCTGGGGACATGGTCCAGCAGTTTCTGTCCGAGACCCCTGAGCTGCCATGGGGTCTGTCCTTCCTGCGCTGTCGGGAGGCCTCACTGTTTCACTCTTCTCTGGATTCTAAGAGCTATCCATTTAATAGAGGCTATTCTCCTAATTAATGCTTTTTCTGCTTAAGCCAGCCAGAAATGCTTTGTGTAGCCTGCCGTCAATGAGCCCTAATTAAGTCAAGTAAGTGGTCCCAGGGCCCCGAGCCAAGCAAGGGGGAAGCGGGCAAGGACAGACCAGGCCTGTCTGGCCGCAGGCCCACACTCTCAGCCCCCACCGCTGCCATCTCTGGGGGCTGGCTACAGGGACACAGGCGCAGGGCTAACTGGCGAGGAGATGAGAGGGGTGGAAGGCTGGGCACGCATGCCCACACTGGGAGAAGACAGGTGAAGACACACGCATTGGCCGGCCGGCCTGGGGTTTGAGAGGGAGATGAGAGGTCAGCTGGTGAGAGGGGATCAGGGGAACGGGGGAAGGGTAGGGAGAAGGGGGCAGGGGGGGCAGTTGGCCACATGCCAGGGGAAGAGGCGGCTACCGTTCGTGACGCAGGAACACGTTGTTGAGATTGTCGTTGACAATGAGCAGCTCCTCCGTCAGCTGCTCATTGGCGATTCGGGGGATGAGCTCCAGGACCCGCTGCTGCATGGCTCGGCACGTCCGGTTGAGCTCCTGCCGAGGAAGGAAGCGACTGTGGCCACTGGACCCAGAGTGAGGTCACCGCTAATGGACGGGCTCTGGCCTCTGGGTGTGCCTTGGAGGACGGGGAGGTTTCCAGGCTGGACCTCAAGCTGCACAGAGTAACTTCAGGGGTTCTGTAAGCGAGCCTCTGCATTTCACTCCTACGTGCTCCATGCTAACGTTTACCACACAGGAGACACCCAGCATGTTCAACGCTGCTGCTGGTTGAACCTGGCTTCGTGCAGACTTCAGAAGAAAAGTTTCTGCTGCCATTTTTGCTAAGTTGAAAAACTGAAACTTCCAGGTGGCTGGCTGAACAAATGGCCACTTCTCTGGGTGTACTGGGGTTTTTGTAACCAAGATATAAAAAATGAACAGGATGACTCCAACTATTACCCACAAACCCCAATTTTGAATTTTTGCCTCCAAATTTTTCACCAACTTATTTTTAAAAACTTTTATTTTAGAATAATTTTAAATTTATAGAAAAGTTGCCAAGGCTACAGAGAGTTCTTACAAGCCCTTCGCCCAGCTTCTCCTTAGGTTGGAATTTGTCAAAACTAAGACATGCGATTAACTCAATTACAGACTTCATTCAGTTTTCACCAGCTTTTCCATGAGTGCCATTCTGTTCCAGGCTCCCACACTGCATTTAGTCGCCATGTCACTGACTGGCTTTTAATACTAATTAAATACTTGCTACAGTGTTGTGTATTTAAATTTGTTTTGGGGAAAAAAACCAATTTAAAGCCCCAGCATTGTGAGTTTTTCATTGGTAGGACCGAGTGTTGCTTTTTTCAGGTCCCCACCACCAGGTGGACAGGTGCTCACCTGGGTCACTGTCTTGAGGTCCAGACAGTTGTCAGGCCCTGGTGACTGGCCACACACCAGCCCTTTTTCTCCTGGAGGCATCGTAAGACTAGGCACTGCCTCAGCATTGATTTTGGTTCTTTTTTGGACCCTGTTACTGACCCCCTCCCTAGGTTAAACCTTCTTCTCCTGAGCTTTCCTTATCTGCCTTTAGCGAGTGGCAGGATGGGCATGAGTGACTTTCAACATCTGGTGGGCCTCCCTTCACTTCCTCCCATGACCGAACACAGGTATGGCTTTGTTCCCACTTCCTTGCCCTCTCAAGAGCAGAAGTGGGAACCAGGCCCCCAGGTTCAAATGCCAGCTCTGCGGCTCACCAGCCATGTGATCCTGGGCACACTACATGACCTCTCCTTGCCTCAGTCTGCTGACCTGGAAAATGGGGATAAGAGTATCTACCTCACGGGAGAAGGTGAGGATTGAGTGAGTGCATGTTTATCAAGCAGCCACATCAGACTGGCACATGGGAAGTGCTGAAAGCATGTGAGCTGTCCCTGTGTCAACCTCGCCTGCCGGCTCCAGCAATCACTCACGCCCACATGGCCCTGGCTTAGGACATACCAGGTTAACCGCGCTACGGCCTCCTGCTGCCTCGCTCCTCTCATAAACCCTCACGGAGTCCTCACATTCATGTGTTCCTTAAACTCCAAGACTCCGACTTCACTCCCATCTGAAGGTAAGGACCCAATCAAGCACACTGCGTCAGCTCGGTTAGGCACAGGGACACAGGGATGCGGACAACACAGCCCTGTCCCGAAGGAGTTTGAGGTCTAGCGGGAGACCAACACAAAATGAGACGATCACACTAAGCACTCAGTGCCTTCATGGGACCTGGTGACTCCTGGGCCTCGGGGTCCCCCAGCTTTCTCGGAACCTCTATGAATTGATCTCCATGGTATGGGGGGAGGGAGGTGCTTTCCCCAAACTCAGCTCCTTCTGTTCCAGTGCCTGCCCCTCCTAAGTTGGGGATGGGACTGTGGGAATATCATGTGACACAGAGGAGTGAAACTGACAGCTCCCACTTGCCTCAGCTCCCGAGACCAGCCCCCCTCATTTCAAAGCCAGCACTGCTCTCTCACGCCTGCCTGCTAAGCTGAGTATTCTGAAAGGTGGAAATCTCACCTTCCAGTTTTTTCTCAATACCATTTATTGGGAACTTATTCTGAACCAGGCACAAGGTGGGCAAAACCTTATTTAATTCTCATGCTCAACTCGTACCATAGAGGCGGTTATCAGAGCACTTACAGATGAGAAAATTGAGGCAGAGGGGCTATTCTGTTCAAACCAGAAAGCTATGGAGCCCTGAATTCCAATCTGATGGAGTGCGAGGTCCCTGGTTTAACATCTCCCACGGTGACCAAGGAGCTCAGCATAAAAATTGTAGTGTGGGTGGGAAGAAACGTGTGTGGACAAATGAGCAAGAAGTCACCTGGCAGGGGCGAGCGGGGGAGGGGGCGGATGGGTGCTCACCTGTAGCAGCTCCAGGTCTGCCGGCTCTGCCTGGGTGGGCACCAGCTCCGTCAGCATCTCCGACATCACCCTCACGTTCCCACTCACCATCTCCAGCTCGCTGCGCAGCTTCCCAATCTGAAACACACCGTCGGCCGTGGTGAGAGGCCAGGGGCTGGAGCCGTTGCCGCTCACAGGGCCAGGGGCTGGTGCACCAGCCCTGGGTGTGGTGCCTGCAGGAGCTGACCTTCCAGCACCCTCTCTGGCTCCCGGGCACAGCCCTGCTGAGAGGCTAAGAGGCCCGTAGTGGGCTTGCCCCCACTCCCACAGGCCCCCCTCACAGAGGCGTTACCAACCGTTACCATCTCCGAACGGGGAACCTGGTGTAGGGAGAGGCCAGAAGGAATGAAGCAGAGGGAGAATGCACCACAGAGCACGGCCAGAAGGCTCCAGTGTCTCCCGGTCCAAGGGCAGCTAACGAGGCCCCGGAGGGCAGTTCCTCCCAGGGGAGAGGAGGGAGTCAGCAGGCCCGCATCCCTCCTCAGGTGATGGGATTTTACCCTGTCCCTAGGATGACACGACTTCCCCTCTCTCCTCTCCTAGGATTTTGTCTTGTTCCTGGTCTGTACCTCCTAATCTGTTTTGGTATCCCAGACTCTTTCCAGCATGAGTCCCAGTGCCCCCCGCTGGAGAAATAGCACTTGTTAAAGGGATATTAGCAGGTTTTCAGTGATTAAAGGGTCCAAGGTCTTGGCCTGGGGAATCATACACCAAGTTGCACAGGTGAGGGAGCAGAAGGCCAGTGTCTCACGCTGTGGGGCTCTGCGGGGCGTTTAGTTTCCTCGTGAACACTGTACACTGTGGATCCAGTAAGCGATCAGTATCGAAGTCCCAAAATGAATCTGGCTGAAGAGCCCTTTGATCGTGGAGTATCTCGTGGGTCTAGTATTAAGTGGCTTAGATCTTGGGAAATGCTCAGTCTAAATTATGTGACCTAGTTGATTTCAGAATGAGTGTCACCATATAATTCATGTTGCCTGTGATAGCAGCTACCAAGTGCCCAGCGTTTAACGTATATTGCTCATTAAACTTGACCACAGCCTTATGGGGCACCTATCATTACCCCAGCCTTTACAGATGAAGATGTGGGAGCGCAGTCACAGGTAGTACATCCACGAAAAACGTTTGCTACATTTGGCCTATTTAATGAACACTCGGTAAAGCGAGTGGAAAAACTACTGATCACAAACCCAGAGTGTCCAGGTCAGATGGGACCCAATTACAACGGAGTCTGAGAGTTACATCACTGCATGTTTGAAAGTCTTAACGTGTCCCAGGAGACAAAAGGGGACTCTGAAATTAAACAAAGACTGCTCAGTTTTGTTTAGTGAGAACCTTCTTCCACTAGATATAATCAGTCTTAATCCACACACATGCTAGGCTTCAGGCAAAGTGATTAAAATCATAACCAAGTCAGATATATTTTGGATCACAGGGTGATTTTACAATTTTATGTTCCTTTAATTAGTTGGCCAGTTAGGAAAACTTTTCTAGTAATATTTGTAACTCTGGGAGGTGATTTTACAACTTGCCATAAGCTATCAAAGTACAGGAGTTTCTCTTCAAACAGGTTAGGGTGTTAAAGGCTGTTGGTGAGTTGATTTATTTATAAACATCCAAACGATACTGTACAAGAGGATCAGTGGGTACACTCTGGAAAGTCAAGTTTCACTTTTGTTTCCATCATATACCTGTGTCTCTCTTACCAGCACTTTTAGCAGCCAAGCTTATATACTCAGCTGATGTGATGGGTATGAAGTGTGTAAAACACCTCAAAAGTGGGCATGCTGACAGTGCAAGGCCTTGACCCACCTCCCGGGAGGCAAGTTTAAAATGACTGAGCACTCAGCTAACTGTGGTCCTGGCTGTGGCTGCAGACGTCCCTTGTAGGGGGTCAGGCTCTGCATGCCACAAACTGCTCAGGGCCAAGAGGTGGGTCACCTGCCTCCAGCTTTAGGAGGAAGCAGCTGAAGGACTGGGGCTAAGCCAGTGTGCCACCTAGTCTGAGGAGGGTAACTGTTCACAGCCGCTCCCAGGGCGCTGGGAAAACCTGGCCCCGCTCCACCCCCGGGAAGCTTACACGAAGCAACCATCAGGGTGCAATGCAAGGGGTTTTCAACATTATTTTTTGTGTGGATGTCTTAAACCTGTTTTTAGCCAGAACCTCTGTTCAGATGAAATCTTATCCGCCACACAGGGAAAGCAGAGCTGCTGTGGTTGAAGGCGCCACCTTCTGGGCACTTCCCTATCCTCCTGCTGCCCGAAGGGCTCCATGGAGAACACGGTTTGGAGGACAGCTGAGGTACAGGACAGAGCCTGCTTGGAGTAAGACAGACTTGAGCTAGAATCCCAGCTCTGTCTCAGATGAGCTATGTGGTTCTGGGCAAGTGAATTTATCTCTTTGAGCCTCATCTCCCAAACAGGAAGAATAATGGGGCTGTGGGGCTGCTGTGAGGAGCGAGTGGAGGCTCTGCGACTGACAGGGGCCCCTCCGTGACATGAGGGGAGGGGCCAGGCCCACCATCCTGCCCTCATGGCTCTGACCCAGGCTTGTTCACCTGTTCAGCGGTTGGTGCAATGGGTGTGTCGCTGGGGAGTGCAGCCGGGGTGGGCAGAGGAGCCGTGTGCTGGCTAGAGTCCGCTTGGTGGCTGGCGTCAGTGCCCACAGAATTCTGTCCTGATGGAGTCTCCAAGCTGAACACAGTCTAGAGGGCAAACAACGGCATCAGCGAGGCTGGTAAGGGCCCCCGGAAGCCAGGGGCTGACAGGAAGTAGCTACAGAAACCCCTCTGGTGACCACTCCTGCCTCCCCTACCCACTGGCCCGGTGTGAGTGTCCTCACCCTCTGGGGTGTGTGGATGGGTGACAGCATGTCTAGGTCGGTCATCGGGAACTCCAGGCCCTTCCTCCGCAGGTCCTCATAGACGGCGACAACACCTGTCAAATCGGGCGAGCTACGGAATGCATCAGCCCAGGACTGAGAGGGGACAAGGGGACACGACCTGTAACCACTGTTCACTGACACCCTTGGAAGCTCTCTATCTGCCTCCGAGAGCAGAGATCCCATCCCTGACTTTCTGGTCCTTTAACTACATCACGCAGACAGCCCACTCCATCGCCAAGGCCCACAGTGGACGAGCCTCCCCACCTTCAGAACATCCAGTCAGCAGACAACCGAGGCGGCCCCAAACGAGCAGCAGATCGAAGCCGACAGAGGAAGAGCAGGACTGGCGCAGGCACCTTTCTCCCTGGCCGGGGCCCGGAGCTCTCTGCCCGGGAAGGAAGCTGGTACTGAGCTCCCCCACCCGCCCTGCCTGTCCACACTCACCTGGATGAGGTTGAGCACCTTGTCATGCACGATGGTGGGTGGGTTGTTCTTGGGCAGGATGGTCCTCACAAGCACGCCCTCCACGAAGTCCTGGCTAGCCACCAGCACGTGGAAGCGGTGCCCGCAGTTCTTGACGCAGGTTTCCAAGACCTGGAGGCCGTGAGGTGCCCGTGAGCACCAGTCAGAGGAGGGGAGCGCCCAGGACCCCCACGCTCACACTCCACTTTTGTCCCAGAGGGCAGCCTGAGGTGAGACCCTGGAACATGGACAAGCAGGGACGATGCTGGGGTTTGGGGATTGGTTTACTGGGGAGTGGGGCTGGAGTGGGCAGAGGGCAGTGTGCTGGCTAGCGGCCCCTCGCCGAGCGGCCTCAGGGCCCACAGAATCCTGTCCCGATGCTGTTTCTGAGCTGAGTACAGTCTGGAGGGGAGGTGGCTCTCTGGGTAGAAACCACAGAGAAGTTTCAATCAAAAGGTGACCCTGCGGCCGAAGGAAAAGGCGCTAACCTCCCCTCTCCACTCCTGATTTCCGTTCCTGGCAGGAGAACTTGCTTTTTAGGGTAGCTGATTTACCTGGATAAAATGTGCTATGGGGGAGGCTGGGACGAATATCCTCGTCCCCACTCCCCAGCCAAACCCACCCTGACAGCCAGGATGCCCACTCACACCTGGCTGGTCCTGTTATGGGCAAAGACTGTCCTCGGCCATGGCACTTGTTTTATGTTCAGATTTCAGGGCGTCCAAGTGCCAATCAGCGTCCAGCTTGGCCTGCCAGGCTCTCTGGCCCCTGAGAAGCTTGGGTTCACTGAGTGTCTATGTTACCCGGCAGACCCTCTGGGCCAGGCTCCCCATGACTGGTTCTGGAGGGAAGGGAGCCTCAGTGTGCCTGCTCCCCATGCCAGCAGGTTGGAGAGAACGTCTTTCCATATGCCCTTTCTTGCCACCCATGTCTGCCAGCAGTGTAGACAGGACAGTGCTTGGCCCACGGACCTTTCCTTCCCAGCACTTGGAAGAGGAGACCCCCTGCAGGGCCAAGGGGAAGGCCATCCATGGACAGACAGACAGACAGGACACTCACCGTGAGAGCCAGCATCACCTCGTGGAAGTTCTTATTCCCCACGATTCTTTTCTTTATTGCTCGAAAGGCATCTTTGGGACTGGGCAGGACAAAAGGAGGGTCGGCTCTTATTAACTGTCCTCCCTGGGGCCCCTCTGTTTTCTGTGTATCAGGTTCTAATTACATCACACCGCCTGCCTCACCAAAACCCTCCCAGTAGATCATGAACACATGGCAGAGATTCTCAATGTGTGTGGACCAGAATACCTTCGGGGGAGGTGTGTTTGTTAAAAATGCAGAATCCCAGGCACTGACTCTCGACCCTCTGAGCCAAATTCTTAGGGGATCTGCATGCTTACCACGCCCCAGAGGCGTCTTATACAGACTGCAGTTTAACATGAACCAATCGCAGGTGGGCACAGAGTCCTCACGCCCTATCTGACCAGTTCCTCTATGCACCAGCCTCCCACTCAAGTCTTATTAAGTACCCACATGTGCCGGCACCATGCGGGGTGCTGGGGACACATTGGGGAACAAGACCACACAGCCCTGCTTTCAAAGGTCTCGTGTTCCAGGGCGATGGGCGTAAGTGAGGGGAGCAAGCAGGTCCTGCAGCACGAGTGAGCGGGTGTGGGGAGGCGCCGGGGAAACCTTCTCTGAGGAGGTGGCACTAAGGCTCAGCATGAAGGATGAGATGGAGCCGGCTGGCGGAGCAGGGGAAGTGGTTAAGGTGGGGACAAGAGGCTGGAGCAGGGCCCTGGGTGAGGAGGAACTGAGATAGGCCATGCAGAGCGTGGAGGGGGGTGGGGGAGGGCTAAAACATGGTGGGGAGGGTGGAGAGGGAGCCCTGAAGGCCTGGGCGGCAGCCTGCTGTCCCTGTCCCATCGTAACTCCACCTCCATCCCGGTGCCTCCCGCCTGCCCCTGGCCTCCAGCCCTGTACCGGTGAAATCAATGTTCTCAGCCGACCGCTCTTGCTTAAAGGCCTTTGTGGCCCCCCAACGTCCACGTCCTTGCCCACAACGCTTCCTAGTCCTCCATGTCCCTGGCACGCGCTGCCACAGGGCACTAACCGGGGCCTGCTGGCTAAAGATGCCTCCTAGGGGGCAGGGGTGGCATCCTGTTAGACACCTTGCCTCCCCCAGGGCCAACCTCCTAGGCCAGCAGGTGGCTGCTGGGGCCTGTCCTGCTGTCTGACCAGGCGTTTGTGTGCCTGTCAGTGCTCACCAGTCAAGGGCAAGTCAGGAGAATTGGGAACCCTGACGTGGGTCCCCCAACACAAGAGGAGGTGGCAGGAAAGCCTTCCTGGGGACAGACCCCATGAGGGGGCAGAGCAGCAGATGTCTGTCAGGGCTGTGAAGGACAGGACACGCAGGGTGAGGGACCCTGTCCCAGAAGTGTGAGGGTCCTGGGACCCTCGGGGCTCATTCTGGGGGAAGCTGGTGTCCGCTCCTGGCTGGGCTGCTCACCTGTGGCCACTTCAGCTTCAAAGGGACTTGTCTCCACTTCTTATACAGTGGCCCAGAGAAACGGCAGAGCACCGGAAACCAGGACTTCTGGCTTGTGTGCCATTGCAGTGGGCCTACTGTGTGCCTAGTACTCTGTTAGGAAGGGGCACAACATGGATGACAAGGAGGCCACAACCCAATGTGGGAGTGGCCAAGAGTCTAAAGTTTAGACGACAGGCTTAGTGAGGCCAGGGTCATGTCTGCTTTGCTCACTGCTGGTTCCCTCGTGCCTCGTGGAGTGCCTGAGACACAGCAGGTGCTCAAAGCCAACAGCATGCACCTGACCGAGTCTGAGCCCCAGTTCTGCCAAAGTCTACAAGGGGGATGGGGACGTGCCTCTCCAAGGACCCAGCAGTGGCCTTCAGCCTCATGTTCATGAAGCCCCAGGCCTTCTCAGAGGTTCCATGAGGTTTTCTGCCTCCTGCCGTCTCTCTTGGTGGCCCTCCCATCTGCCCATCACTCCCACCCCTTACTCTATGAGTACAGACATAGGGATAGCGCCCCTCCTAGCTCCTCAGCAAGCCCGTGGAGCACCACGGGGGACACTGGAAGGCACCAGCAGCCACTGTGTTCTCCTGACTGGCCTTGACTGTGCGATGCAGACACCCACAGCCTCCCTGGGGCTCTGGGCTGGGTGCGCCCTGCCTGCTGCCTGCTTCCAGCCTGCCCCTCTACACACAAAGCACTGCCTGGCTGAGAGGACCCCGCGCAGGCCAACTGGATTATCTGAGTGAAAAATGGAGAGCGCAATGAGCTCCCGCTGCCACTGCTGATCCTGATTTTCCAGAACACGGGCCTTGTCTGGCTGCACGTCCGGCTGGCTGTGGTTATCACGCCTCTCCCACCCTTCATCTGTTCCCCTCAGGGCCTTGGGCACATGGCTGGAAGGCCTGAAAGAGCTTTGCCTTTGAGGACAGACTTAGGTAAAGTGACTTGCCCAAGGTCACAGAGCTAGCTGGTGAGTGAGGGCTAGCCAGAGATCGGGAGCCAGGGCGCTTCAGTATGAGCAGCACACTGGGACCTGTGCACCGGAAGAGCCCGGCAAAGGCTAACTGATGAGCTGCTCAGTTCGGCTTCAGTTTCACTGCCCTCCCCATGAACCCCAACCCTCCCTGCTAATTTTAAATCCTAAGGAAATGAAAGTCTGTGCTTGCTCACTGAGAAAGCTGGGCGTCCCTAACACACATTCCAGCCCACAGGGCGCAGAAGGGCGCTTAGGGTCGCTTCCTCATCCTAAGGGTTGCCAGCTGGCCTTGTCCTAGGAAGGTGCCGCCTCGGTGATGTTCTAGGAAGACCGGTTGGCTGGACTGCTGCCGAGAGGCTGTGTGGGTGGCAGCACCCAGGGGCAGCTGCACACCTGGCATCTCTGGGCCTCTCATCCAGCTGATGAGAGGGTTAGACAGGATCTAGGTTCCCTAATGCTTAAAATGCTACATTCCTGCCTGGGGTGGGGCTCAGACAACCTCTGCAGACCCTCCCAACACTGAGGGCCACGAGCAGGGCCGCGAGAAGTAGTGGGACTGGGGTCGGGGGCTCTCTGGCAGGAGGCAGGGTGTGACAGAGTCATCGCTGCATTGCAGTTGGCTGTCCCCGCCGCCAGTGTCCCAACTCACCCTTCCTCCGTCTCGTTGATGATGTCACAGATCTCCATGTTGAGGGCCCAGTCCTCGCTGTGCAGGGAGCCATCTGTAGCTTTCTCTGAGGAGAAGAAACCACAAGTCACGAAGATGACAAACTCAACTAGTGGGGTGGGGGTGTGTGGTGAGGGGTGTGGGGTGGGAAGAGATGGCGAGGGAGGACAATGGATGCCTTCTGGGCACCCGGGATGGGCCAGGCACTGCGTTCTCTACATTGTCCCATTTTGTCACTTAATTCTTATTAGTCACACGAGGCTTGGGAGTACCACTGTCCTTTGACTGCTGCGGAAGCTGTGGCTCAGAGTACCAAACGGATGTGTCAGGCCTGCTGCAGGCGCTGGGGATGCAAAGGCAGACCTGATGGACACGGTCTCCACCCTACGGCTCCCAAAAGGCCGAGGCTCTGCACCCGGGCCTGTCAGGGCAGAGATAGGCCACCACCATGTAAATGGGCAGGGCCCTTTTCTGGTCAGGCAGGAAGGCCCATCCTGTAGGGCAATGCCTGGGCTGGGCCAGCACAGTCAGCTCCCTGTAACTGTGGCTTCTGTGACCCTGGTTTTTTTTTTTGTTTGTTTTTTTTAAGCTGAGCCATCCTGCTACCTGTTGGCAGCTCAGCGGCTGCTCAGCTCGGGCTGGACTCGAACCGCTGTTGCTCAGAGCTCAAACTCTTGAGCGAGCTCTTAACCAACTGAGCCACTCGGCCGGCCCTGTGACCCTGGTTTTGAAATTAGCCTGACTTCATTCCACCCTGGGTCCTACCTTGGGTCCTGTGGCCAGATGGATGCCAGGGTGGCCCAGGACCCACGCCAGGCAGCTGAGGCATCCAGACAGGGACCCAGCAGCAGGATGGGCTGCTTTATTCCCTAGATTACGGCTGGGGGAGGGGGTGAGGAAGGGCTCCCTTTAAAAGAGTTGAGAGACAGACTCGTTCACCTCACAATTATGTCCTGAGTGTGGCTTCTTTGTGTCACACTCCTCACACACTTACTGAGCCACGTGGGAAGAACCAAAGAGAGCTGGACAAGTGCCCCTCTGAGCAGAGGGGGTGGACCCTACTCTGGAGGGTTTGAGGGGCAGTGGCTCATCACCCCTGCAGAACCTGCTACTTCTTCAGAAGCTACTTCTCAGGGGTCCCCAGTCACACCGGCCAGAAGGATTAGCCATCCCTGACTCCTGGACGACCTCCAACTGGCCACAGAGTGCTGCTAATTCCAGCGCCTGCCTCTCTCCATCTCACCCATTCTCTGTCGCCCTACCCTCTGTGCTGCCACTCAGCCACCGTCCCTCTGCCTCACTCCTCCCATCCATTCTCCCTGCTGCCCACAGTGAACTTCCTGAAACTTGAAGGGGACGGTATCCATCTGGGCCGCAAATCCTTCAAAGGCCCCCTAAGCCTAAGCTTAGCCAGGTCTCCCGATCCTTCCACAGTCGTAACGCTTTAGCTTCCCTGAGTTATACACTGCGTAACACCAAATACCGTTAGCTGTTTCCACAGAGAATGTGATTTAGCTTCACAGCCCTATAAGCTGCACATTACCGGTGACTAATGAGGAAACTGAGGTATAGCGATGTCACATGGTGGAAAGGGAAGAGGGGCCATTGATGCCACTGACCCCATCTCTCATCAGGGGTCAGGGAGCTCCGCTTTTCAACAAGAGTCCTCCGGAACGGAACACTCAGGCCATCTGCCCCTCATCCTGGACCCCTGGCTCCACAGAGGCCTCGCAGTGGCTCCTCAGATCCCCTTACGACTCCCCAGTGACCCCTGAAAATGATGGACACCTCTCTTCTCCTGAGGGAGAGAACACACGGTTGTGGAAGGGGTTATGATCCAGTAGGCTGTCAGGGGAGAGCTGGGATATTCAGAAGTCAGGAATGCCATCCGAAAGCACCAAGGTGGGTGCAGAAGGACCTGGAACAGAGTCTGATGCCAACCTAGCACAGCTGGCAAGTTCCTTAGGCCCGAGTGCCAGCAGTGGGCAAAGCCATTCAGAGGATGCAGAGTTTTTTGGGGTAATGGTGAGGGGGATGGGGGATTTCAGTCAGCCTAAATAGGAAAGGGGAGACGAAGAGGCAAAAGGGAGACAAGACTCAGGTGAGCAATTTCAGCAGAAGAAAGGTGAGCACAGACCTGGACGGGCCCAGCCTGCCCATCTATCACCGTCAACTTCCTTCAGGTCTGGCAGCAAACCACAGGACTGGGAGAGATAGACGACTTCCTTAATCAAGGTTTCTACAGAGTAGGTGTGTTCTATTAAGGGCAGAAATTTAAACCCACAGGAATCTGGGGATATTTGTTTTGTTTTTGTGTTTAACCACAAAAGTAGCTCAGCTTGCTATTTTAAGAAGGAGGAATAAAAACTCTGACAATGGTTACCAGTTCCAAGAGAAGGACAGCTGACTTCCTGACCTCTGAGCGGTTGGCAGTAACCTTCAAAGCCCCCGGTAGCAGTTCTGCCCTTGTCCCCAGCTCCTGAGGAAGCCAGGCCCTGCAAACCTCCACCAGCCGCATTGTTGTTTAGGGCTGGCTGGCCTGTGGGTTTGGATCACTGGGCGCCTGCCTGTCTGCTCCGTAGCCTGTCCCTCCATGTTGGGCTTGGTGCAGACACCACCCCCAGAGGGCTCCCGAGACTCCGCTCGGTGCGGGATGAGCACAGTCAGGTTGGACAGTGGCACAGGTCTGCAGGGAGAGCAGTCTGGCCTCCCCTCTCCACTTGGAGACCATGGGCAAGGATCCAAGCCCTCCGAGTGTCCGTTTTCTCACTTGTCAAACCGAGATAAGACTGCAGGCTTCACGGACGTTGAAACTTTTCAGCCAGATAACGTATGCGCAATGTCAGGGAACAGCAGTGACCAGTAACTGCTAAGTGCCGAAACTACGACTTTTTAAAAACTGCACTTTCCTGGCCCAAATGCAGGCAAGACTGGCCACCAAAAGCATGGCAGCTCCAGGCCCGTGGTCCCCAAATATCTGGAGGACAGCAGGCCCTCCCAACCACAGGGGAAGTCCTGCTTCTTCCGCTGCTTTGGAGGAGGTCATTTCTGTGGTGCTCACTGGAGCTGTGGCTAGTGTCATGGATTTGAGGCTCACTGACCTCCTACTCCCCAAGTCAGCCAGGAGGGGAGCAGCCTACAACCTTCTCCCCACCCTGCACATTCAGACAGTCTCCACGTCCTATAGATTCCAGCTGCTCAAAGAATCTCAGAGCTGCCCGCAACTCCATCATCACTGTGGCAGCTTTGGCTCAGGCCCCGTCACCACCTCCAGGCCTGGACCATCACCTCCACACTCTTCAAACATAAATCCAACTAGTACTTTTCTGTCTAAAAATTGTCCAGGGCCCCCCTTCCCCTCATTGCCTGAGGATCAAAACCTGACCTCTTCAGAGGCTGAGAGGGACATTCAGTGCTGACCTTGGCCACGGTCAGCTGTGTTCTCCACACTTGTTCTTTCACACCTCTGCCTGGCCTCTGTCTGGAATGCCTTTCTTCCTTTCAGTCAGGCGCCAGTTCACAGGTGACAATGACGAGCACGAGGACTGGCACTCAGTATGCACCAGGCATGGGGCTCGGCCCCGCACCACAGCTCTTAGATGGAGGATGACCTAACCGAGGGGCGCAGAGATGTCAGTGACTTGCCCCTGGTCACACAACTCGTAAGTAGCAGAGCAGAGATTTGAACCCAAAGAGGCCTGGCTCCCAAATCCAGGCTCTTAACCACTGTTCTGTGCCTCTCAAACACACTCAACATTTGTCCAGGCCCCGGGAGACGGCGGTGAGCAAAACTGACCAGGTCCTGCCCTCAAGAGGTTTACAATCCAGGGGGAGGCCACTACTGAGATGACAAAAGAAAAAAATGCCGTGACAGCAAGGACCAGGCGCTGACACAGGCAGCACAAGGGCTGCGAGGTGTGGATGTGCCGGCTATTCCCTGCTCCTCTTTCAAGGCCCTAGCCCAGGGCCAGCCTCTTAGCGCTGCCTCCAACTGGGCAGACTGTGCCACCTGTCATCCTGCACTGTGACAGTAACATTCTGAATAACAGTGACAAAATGACCAGCACTCACTAAACATCAGCCTGTGCAGGGTGCTCAGTGCACCTCCTCTGTGTCACCTCCCCACAGTCCCCACCCACCATACGTGGGGGCAGCTCAGCCCAACCCCCAGGTCTGGAGGGGGAAGCAGCGCTCTACCCTCCGGGAGGCGTCCCTACCTGCCTCGGGTGGACTCGGAGCTCCTGGGGGGCCTACCCTCTGGTGGGATGAACAGCAGAGGTCTGTTCAACGTGAGCTGAAGGGCTGACGGCTCCACATGGCCTCGCTGCTCCAGGTCAGTGCAGAGTCCCCTCTGCACCCCCACCCTGGGCAGCATTCACTGTGTGTCACTGACTCTAAGATGCCTTTTCCACTCCTGAAACACTCTGACATTAGGAGGTTTCTCATAAATGACGACCTGTCAGAGCTCAGCTGGCAGCCTTGTCTTTTTACACTGCACAGCACCTCAGATTCAATGAGACACGGGATGTAAACAGCAGGGGCTCTCAAGGCCGATGCTGAAGTCCACCTGGTCCTGCCCTGGACCATGACCAAGTCTAGGGCATGGGTCACGGACCCAGGGGACAGGGACAGCAGAGGAGCTAGTTGGCCGTGATAAAGAAAACAGTGACACGCTGCGCCAGCTCTCGGCGGCTCCCGCTGGACTTCTGAGTCCTCCTATGGCTGGCACCCCAGCAAGGGCACAGCCGTTGCCTTTCTGGACCACGTTTATTGAATGCCATCTTTACACCGTTAAAGTCACCTACTCATATCACTCAAAGGATCCACAGTAAACCTTTGTGAAGACTTCCTTCTCGTGTTTACTGTTGTCAGGCTTTAAAACACATCTGTACAATTTTTTAAAGTGTGTAATGGTGTTGTGGTTGTAGCTTGCTTTTTTGTTTTTAAATAATAACCCCATTCCATATTTTTAGAGACACTGAAATATTTATGAACGAAATGATATGATGTTTGGAATTTGCTGTGACACCCACAGCTCTGCTGGTGTTACCTCCCCACCCGCCATCT